GATGATGATGGTGATGATGATCAGATTCGATGTAAACACAGGGTTTATTACCGAACCGAGCAAGAATTCACAGTGATTTTGACATGACACAGACGGGAATAGCACGAGAAAGACTGCTTAAGGCACTATAGAGAAAGCGAGTTTTTTTCTGCTCTCGTCTAACAGATCGTCTGTCCCTGAAAAAGGGTTTCACACCGCGTCATGATTTACCCGAAACACCGTATGTGGTCTCTGCAAGAATAAAAATGCTGCAACTGGAATAAAACCTCCATGTTTTCAGAAGACATCTAACTTTGAGTCACTTTCCCTCTGATCTTAAAGAATCCTCCTCACTCCCTTCAGGAGGGTTTTCCCAGGCTTTCTAAAGCCACAAGGACGTGGTTGACCCCAAAAGTTAATTCACTAAGTACTTCGGACTGGTCAGCGGCGCTCATTAGCCGCACAATGCTCCTAGCTGCAAAACCTTTGCGAGTAGAGTAAAACGTTTTGCATTTTGTTGCGTATGTGCTCAAACCAAAAAACTATTCTAATCTACGTTCATAGTTTTGATGCTCACCGAATTTCATTGTCCACCAAAGCAATCATACCTCTGGTGGAATACTTTCCTAGCATCGCTGATACCCCGGGGTGTCTAGATGGGGCTCAAAAGATTGGACCCTTACTCTGAACTCAGTTGCCCGATTGCTTTAGTTCATCAAGAACACGTCATAGCTTTCGAAATTTCAATTCAGTTGTTCGAATACTGGACGCCCTGGTCAGCTGAATATACCGAGGTCGTTTGTATTCAGCGCCACGCAGTCATTAACCAGATTTAAGCTCCTGGAAAGAATTTTTTTTTTTTGGGGGGGGGGTTAGCTCTTCGTGAAACAAGGCACTCATAAGTCTTCCACAAAGAGATTATTGTCCGGATTCCGGACCATGTGTGTGTGTGTGCTGTCCATCCCCACAACATATAACTTGAAAGGATGATATCTGCCTCGCTCTTTTATCCAAAATCTCCCCCACTTACTTGGCGCAGATAAACTTGACATCTGTTATTTAATTTCAGTTGCACTGTCCCAGTGAACGCGACAACTCTTTCGGTATGTGGTCACTTTCAAAATCCACTCCCACGAATTCCAAGTGACTTAGCTGAACCGGTTTTTTAAACACGCAAACGGAAGCAAGAAAAAACACCACTTCTGATTTTGAAATTCCAATCCATAAATTACACTTTCATCTGTCATAACAGGATGCATGGAGAGAGATAGAGATGGAAATAGGTTTGTTTGACGTGATCCAGATCAGAACTCGGGCTGTATGCGCTCTCCGGTTTGCTCACTCGCTAGGGACTCGGTGGATTTCAGTACTTGTTTCGGATAGATGCATTCTGCCCGACTTATATCGACGAAGGTTTATGCATTCTATCGCATATTCTCGATCTAGACATTCGTGAACAGACTACTTGGATTTGATCACGTGATTAGTACGAAAGGGGTGGTAGGTTTACTGACATTAATTCCTCGTTCGCCGGATATCGTCTATAGTTGTTCCTTTCCTCATGCGCGGTCGCTTTGTTTGAGTCGTGTTCTCATCCGGTCCGGGTTAGACCCTATTATTTGAAGTCACCGAGTGTGACTCGCCTTCCGGTTGGTTAATTGCAGACGTCGATAGTTTTTGTGTTTTACTGTTTGCGCGAATTTTAAAAATTCAGTCCATCACATATGGTCGGTTTTTCATGGGGGCTAATCAGACTGAATTGTGTTACGACTGAGTTGCAAATCACCAAACTGAGTATAAGCGGATTATAAGAGGATTTTGAATTTTTTCATCGCCTTTGGACCTCGTTCTTAACAGTTCATCACGCACTTGAGAAAAAGCAGCACTTTCAGTTGTAGAATATCATAAACGAGAGATTCAGTTGAGTCTCTCGTGAAAACCAAATTGATTTGCAAATAAGTGTATTTTTCGAAAACAGTACAATTTGGGTTCAAGTAGATCAAAAGGTTGACGGAAACTCGGAGACTGCGCCTAGCTGATGAGCCCAAATTGGAAGGGCAAAACCGGCCGTGGGCTGTCGAAGAGTTTTCAGTAGCCTTGTGAGTAGTTTCCTTTATGAGACTGACCTTTCTTTTAGAGATGCCTCCTCTAGGAGGTAGGGCTTAGCGAGTGCTTGCCTTTCGGGGGGATTCTCATGAGCATTGTTGTGAATAAGATATAATGCCATTCGGTGTAGACTATGCAGATTTCTCTCCAGCATTCACTGACTCCCTGCACGAAGAGCGGACTTTCAGAGGAAAGTCAGCTTCATTTCTCGGCCAGTTACTCACATTTCGTGAGTAGCGAGTATATTCTGAGATTTTGCTTTCGTTCGCCAACGAATGTAAGCAGCCATTGTCATATTTACATTGGACAGCTGATCAAGCTGGTTTGGTTAATTCCTAATTATCAATGTTGAACAGCTCAGATTTTATTCATCAATTATACTAAGCCCGATTTCAGATAGGAGTAGAAACTGGGAACCGTGCCCACTGTTGTTTTTTCATGAAACTTAATCTTCGTTACATATGTCACTGTCACCTCTGTATCGACTTTTGCGTTCACACTGCCAATTTCGGTGCTCCCGTCGACTGTGCTACGAACTGGATGATTTTGACACCACTGTTTGAGTTCTGACGCAGTAGTGGTTTTCTTGAAAGTATTTTCACAGAGAAACCAGTTTTCTGGAGGTGCAACAATAGTTGTGCTCATCAGACATGATTTCGCTAGATGCTGCTGTGTAAAAAGTACTGGTTCTTGCTTCTCGGCTTGTTGTCCCACCCAATACCTTTATCGGAGACAAAAGGGAAACAGTATTTACAGGGTTGTCGCGGGATTCTCCAATAGGGTCGCAGCAGAATGGACGTGCTGGGGCTATAAGCGCCTAGCTGAAAATGCTAGGTCCTGATTGGCCGAAATTTCAACCAATCATAGGGAGCCATCGTATTACCCATAGCTGATATTCGGCTGTTTGGAGCTTCTGGCTTCCGGTCACCTTTCCTTTATAAAAGACAGCTGTTATCATTTGTTGCCAGTGATATTACTGGTCTGTGATCTGGCATAGATGGAGTTGGCCATGCTCTTCACTTCAGAGTTATGGGGAAGTTGTCCGGTTTTCAAATTATCGTGGTTCCTTTGTGGACCACAGTCTGCTGGCTTGAGTTTAATCGTGTTGCGCAATCAGTCTTTACAACTGGTCTTTTATCTAGACCTAACGAAGCAGTCAAAGCCTAAACAGAAACTGTTTACCAGCGCTTAATCTGGGTGTGTTCACGGGCCTGGGCAAAAACTATTTTGGAGGCCCCCTTGATTTCAAGGAGCCTTTTCGAGGGAACCTTTTCAACTCGTTCGGATTAACCAGTTATGTTTCAAGATCCAAGATCAGCAGTGCAAATCTCACGCAGTTTCGACCCGGCAGCTTTCCGGCCGGGGGTCGAACACCTGATCAGTAGTGTGATTAGTCCTCAGTTAGACAGAACATTGTGCAACTCATCTTTCAATCAAGAAAGCCACATAACGCGGTCATGCATTAATAGGCTCTTCGAGTGGCGATTGTCGGTTGGAACCTTCATTGAACTTGTGAAATTACTCTCCTTCTCAGCCTTTTGTAGACTGATGTTTGTGTGAAAGGACCTTGTTATTTCTAACTGAGATTTTGCCTCACTGACGGGGCGGATAACAATTACAAAATCCCCTCACAGTATGATTATTCGGCATCCTCTGGCCTGTATTCAGGTTGAAGGCTGATGAAGTGACTTACAGATCTTTGGCACTCTGACTGAGGCACTTCAAATGACCTGAAAACTTTAGATTTTTGTTCCTTGTCACACCACTCTCGATTGAACGGTGGTCCTCCTGCTCTGGCGTAATTATTCCGGTGAGTCCACACCGAAGGGATGCAGCACAGGACTCTAGTTTCGCTCTCATTAGAGCTTATGTCAGCAGCGCATATCCAACGGCCGTGCCGGCGATCGAACCCCGGACATCTTACGTGCGAGACGAGTGTGTAACCATTCTTCACCAACGCACGTTGGACTCATCCGAATTTTCACATCTAAACAGGCGAACGTGTTCGCATTTGAGCGATGTGATTAGTGTGCCCGGGTCATCGAACGACAACCCATCAACTGTCCTGGTTGTGACGATCAATCGACCCGCCAGTCAGGTAGCGTGACACACGCTTGAAACCCACTGGACAACCTTTTGGTTGCAGCTTTGGGGTTTTGCGGGATAGGTATTTTGTTCAAACTCTCGTATGAACGAGAGTGAACTGGAGGACAACCGTTCAAACGAGAGTGGTGTGACTACGAACAAAAATAACCTATCCCGCAAAACCCCAGATTATTTTTGGAAATTTGGTAAAGTGAGTGTCTCTCACCTGAGAGTGCTCGGGTTGAAAATGTGAACTTTTGACAGCAACGTCACGATGGACTCGAGTCCCTTTGTGATTCTCCACGAAAGTTCGTTTAGTGACGGATGGGTTTCCTAACCCTTTCGTACATTTCTTTTTTGTCATTCAGACGGTGTTTCCATCATCCAAGCCTGAACGATTGCTAGATTTGAAATCAACCGTGGATTTACTGACCAGTATCACCTTCTTCCGGCTCAAGGTAAGCCCCTGTTGTTTGTGGCCATTTATGGGTTTATCCTGGTGGTCTGATAAATTGGAACAACGTGGGAAACGTTCTATCACAATTTCAGTCGGTTTGATTGGAACTGGCACGGTTTTTCCCGCCTTTTGCAACTTCCAATTCAACGGTTTGTAATACAGGGTCACAAAAACATTGTTCGACACCATAGCAATGGTACCATTGTCATTCCAAAAAATCGGGATCGCTGATGCTGATGAGTAGATCAGTTGATCTTGCTTTGATGGCATATTCTATCCGAAATTTTCGCATTGTTTTCCAAAGGATCTCCTTGCCGCGATTCCGCTGGAGCAACTGTAGCTCAGGTAAAAATTGAAGGTGCCTGTTGCAAGTGGATTCATTCGGGTTCACGAGACCACTGGCGAGGCTGAACACGAACTCGGTCGATTAGACTATGCTATGATCCTCTATGTTGCACATGAAACCCGTAGTTGTAAACAGCTGCCTGGGCAGTCCTTCCCTTGTTCCAGATCGAGCAGCAAGTTGGACCTCAATATCATCAAAACTGGATTTAAAATTCCGATATTCAAATAAAAAATATGATCACTGCTCCACTTCCTCACACTGGATAAAACTGGGCGTGAACAGCGGAACGCGTTTGCGCCCGAATGAATTGTGTGGTTTGCCTGGAGCGATGACAAATTAACTGTTTTGCTTTGTCGATTGCCAACTATTATCTACCATAAGGTAATTGGTGGAAGATTTGAAATCGGTTTAGGCAAGTCACACGTTCTTGTTGCTGTAACGCTGAATGAAAGATGGAAAAGGCGAAAAGTGTATGGCAGACCCTTTCCACATTAATCAATATCTCCAGGGATCATTTGTTTTGGTGCTTATTGGGGGTGGTGTGTGCGACAACTCCAGGAAAGCTCTTAAAATTGCTTTTCTGTGAGTGGAGGTTTTACAATTGAATGTTGTCGGATCAGGTTCAGCAACCTGAATAGTTGCTAGGGCAACTACATGGTGTCTCGTTTATGAATCCAGAGATAGTCTTTAAATTGTGTGACAGCATACATGAGATATTATCGATTGAACCCACTGTCCGTGCTGTCTGATATGCGAATGAGTGATCTCGCCAAGGTCAGTTTCTCATTACGAAAACCTGGACTGAAGAAATGCACCAAAGGTCGTGTAGCTCACAGTAGCTGTGGCAACTTGATACCCCTGTAAGTGAAGCCAGTGAAGCGAGTTAATCGCACTGCTGGTCAGCTGGCCGAACGGTTAAGTGGCTAGGAGGTCTCGCGTTCGAGGCTCTCTGGAGCTTCGCGAGATGCGCTGTTGGTGTCCAACTAGGATGAAACAGCTGTACAGTGCTTCTCGGCTTTTTTGCATGGATTTCCCGCGCTTACAGGACGAAATCTCCACAAACATTGCTAACATTACCAATAATCCCCTCGTCTGAAAGTACAGACTGAAGTTCGCCGTTAGCTGAAGCACCAAAGCACAACTTATACGGATCAATTGTGTTCAGAGCAACGCGGTGTGCCTCTGTCCAAAACTGGTCCGACCAATCGGAGTCCGCGGACTCCATTCCCGTTTCGGACATACAGCTTTCTGGTTGTTCCGAGTTTACTTGAAATCTATACACCAATCACAAAAGAGGCACGACCAATAGGCTTTCAGAAACGATACGTGCTAACCTAAAAATTCGTCGGCAGCCCACGACCGGTTTCGCCTTTCTTAGGGCTCATCAGGTAGGCGCAGTCCCCGAGTTTCCGTCAACCTTATGTTCTACTTGGAACCAAATTGCACGAAATTAGCGAATGTACACTCATTTGCGAACTAATTCGATTTTCCGAGAGACTCATCTGGAACGCGGATAAATCTCTCGTTTGTGATGTTTCCAGGCATTACGAATATATGTGTATCGCGATATCTCGAATATCGTAGCGACTAATATATGAGGTGGCCTGGTGCAGCACATTCAGTTGCCTGGAAACATCACAACCGAGAGATTCAGTTGGGTTCCAGATGAGTCATTCAGTTGCCTGGAAACATCACAACCGAGAGATTCAGCTGGGTTCCAGATGAGTCTCTCGAAAGAACCAAATTAGTTTGCAAATGAGTGTATTTCGCTAGATACGTGATAAGTTTCGCTCCTGTAGTCATCTTCTGCCCCGAAATTTATACGAAGCGTCACGTCCTTGTTTAAAATCACCATGTAGTAACGGTATTTTTATCAGCTTAGTTCTCGGTCTGAGCCCCACAAGCTAGCGTTCACATCAAAACGACCACCAAAGGTGCACAGGGTATATTAATGCCCAAAACGAGGTCAGGAACAGTTGTACAGCGCTTCATATATATAGCGTAGGCGGAAACTCTGACGCATTCTGGATGCGGCATTGGCAACCGGCATTAGGCCGATATTGGGCCAGGATTGGCTGTTGGGTCCAGACTTTCGACCAATCAGATCTCGGCTTGATGCCGGACCAACAAGCGTCCCAAATTCTCGGCCAATCTGGCGTGGGATGGACTTCTCAGCCGCCGCAGCACCTGAGTGCGAGTGGTAAAGCGGGATCCGTGTGGAAGTCCGCCCAACACACCACAGGCTGTGTTTCGGAGTTGCTAGTCTCCTCGAATGCCGAATTCTCAAATGAAAGGGGCCAGGGGAATGTCTTGCTTCCTGAGCAGATTACTTACAGTCGTACCGGAAAGAACAAAATATCTTCTTTGTCACTAAATGCTACATGCACTGAGGCTAACTCTCGCGTAATCAAAGCTTTTCAATTCCAGGTTCAAGAGCTGACCTCTCCTCCTCGAACCGGTCAAATCCTCCGTGAATGCATCGCGGCCTGCATTCATGCCACCTATCAGTGTTTATGTGAAAATGTGCATGAACTGTATGGTAAAAGCCTTCAGGTGAGTTCGATTCTCCTGGTTACTCTCGAGAGATAAATAAGTTTAGTGTTTGCTGATATTCCTGAAAACTGTATAGTCCGGTTTGACTGGATGTTCTGTCCGCAAACACACACGTCACAATGATTCCTTGGAGAGAGGCCATGGGTCAGTTGAGTCTCTTCCGTGTCTTCTAGTGAATTTACCTGCTAACGTTAATATGGGGGTTGAATGGGGCTAAGTGATGCTTTGAGACAAACTTCTTGGCCACTGGATGAGCTGAGTAGCTTCCGCTTGGAACTATGAGCGCTTTTCCAACGTCCTGAAACTAGGTAGTTCCAAGTCACAGTTTCGCACGTTGCAACACAAAATTTGTTCGTCACGGAGAATGGAATTCTTCTTGGCTTGGAAATGGGGACACTTTAGTAGCAGCAAAATGTGCTGAAAAGAAAGAAAATGGATTTCATTTTTTTATTGCAGCTCAAACGGACTGAACGTGTTGGACTGACGGTCACGTGTACGCTGTCACGAGATGTATCCCTTGAAATACGTGGTTGTTTCCAGTATATCGTGATACCTGGTCGAGCCCATGATCCTTCACTTTGAGTGTGACACCTCCTCTGGTGGTTCTTTCATATTCGACAAATCCCGCACAGATGTAACAGTGGGTCCTCGATGGGGCCCCTTTTTGAGGGTTTCCTTTGATAAAACTATTGCACCTGGCTGCACCTTTAAGTCTTTTCCAGTGTACTTTGACACAGTTCATTTCATTATCACATTCTTAAGGGTAACAAGACCAGCGTTGACACTAGTAGTTTGAGAGAGGGAGAGCTTTGACAAGAAATATGGAGTAGTCACCTTAGCCGGTGCGTTCTGATCAACTACTCAGTAGGTGTTTCACTACCAGAGACCATCCGAGTTTTTCCGACGTTGAAAGCGCAGAACACAAGCGTATTGTGCGGCGTAAGTTTTCGGACGCTCAGTGTATGAATCACCTGTGTAATATAGGAAGATTGTATTATGAGAAGGGCCATCTTCGAGGACGTATGAACCTTTTTCTGAGTGATAAAATGACAAATAACTGGGCACTCAGGTGGAGGAAGTTTTTTTAGGTTCAACGCACCAGCGACCGATATAAGATGGCGCTATATGCTCTCAAGTGCGAGGTATTCACACACTATTGTTTAGCCGCTCGTGGCACTCCTGCGAATGGTCAAAACCTTACTCATCCTGGGAGTTCTTCCCTCGGGGGTACCCCATTTCCCCATACCTCTCACATAACTTTGAAACGAAAATTTCGTCCTTTTCTCAGAGTCTTTTTTTCTGGGTGTCCTACTGAGGACTGGAATTGTATCCAGTTGTTTATCCTCAACGTTTCACTCATCGGAATCGACAAAGAAATGGTCTGAATTATCCTAAATTGTACAGCTGAGCCGTGGAAAATACCGGTGGATAGCCATCGAACCAGTAGGCAAATCACAGGATGTTAACCGCTGAAATAGCCAATTGATATCCAAACGACCTTGCAACCCTAACGGAGTTTTTCTATCCGCCTGATCGATCAGTTTGTGAGACCAGCTGTTGAGTCCGCTCATCCTACACTTTTTGATCTATCAGTAATGTTTTTACAGTATGGTTTTGCGAATCCGTAGGGTGGCCGAATGGACAGAAAAACAGCCAAATTTATCGACTGGTGTATTGAACTCCCCAACTACGAGTTGTGCAGGGTAAACGTTCATATTTGTATCATGATATGAGCATAACATCCGTTCATTCTTTCATAGGGTTCCAACTCCACCGAGCAGACTGCGACCGATGTTGCTGACGGGGTAAACGGTGGTATCGGCACAGACAGTGACGCGCCAGAGGATACAACTCGCTCATTGACCTATTGGCATCGATTAATTACATTGATTGTATCAGTTCTGGAAGATGATCGGAAACACTACGCACCAGTGCTCAATCAGTAAGTCTTTGGTAGTTGCCTGTTTACCCCATCAATTATCGATTTGTTTTTGACCGCCTCTGGCACGTTTCCACACTTCGCGTGGTTGTGCGAAAAGAGAAAGTCGATCGACTGGCGTATGAAGCACGTGACCAAGCCAGCGAGATGGGACACATCAGTGGCTACATACATTGTCAGACCTGGCCCAGTTGTGCTCTCTTCCCAATCTCTCCAATGGAAAGGCCCCTGACACCCCCGATCGACTGGCGTATGAAGCACGTGACCAAGCCAGCGAGATGGGACACATCAGTGGCTACATACATTGTCAGACCTGGCCCAGTTGTGCTCTCTTCCCAATCTCTCCAATGGAAAGGCCCCTGACACCCCTGGATTTACGAATTAATTATACCAGTTCATCTCCAATGTGTATCTACCTTTCACACCTTAAGTAATCGGCGAACAAAACTGGGGCAGCTACAACTACTGTAAGACAAGTATGCGGTTCTTACAGCTGATAATGATGATGAATCATCGAATAGTGGGATTTCAGGTGGATAAGAAAAACGCATCCTGGATTACACCATTCAAATATCAGGTATATCGACCATGTCAAGACAGGTTGATACCACAGTCAGTAACGCTAGGCGACCGATTAATGGCCATAAAGTGGCGAACAATCCGAGCAGCACATTCAATCAAACTGGCGTTTCTAACTATCACTAGGTAGACCTATTCCACGAAACCTAATTAGACCTTTTTGTTATTCGAATGACATTTCAGACATGGGTGAAGTTTTGCTCTCAGTGGTCTCGTATTAACACAAAATGAGTGCCTGTTTGCCATTACTTATCCGGATAATCTGACCACTTTCTTGTCTTATGGTCGATACATTTGAAGGAAAGATGGGATGGGTGGGAAGAATGAATCGGTCTGAACCGTGCACAGCGGTCAAAGGCAGTGAACGTGCTCGTCAACACGTGATGTACAAGTCACCTGGGATCGGAAATCGATAACCCAGCTGACAAGGCTTCCAGCATCTTTGTAGAGCGCTTTTAAACAAAGAATCGATGCGTGTAGATATATGTGGCATTGTCTCACTAGTCACTAGTGTCCCTGATCTAACGTTTCTGTGTATCATTCTGTATCATTTCGTTCTAACATTGAAGTGATGCCCGGGAGCACACAAATGAGCTTGGATAGAGTTCTTCATTCTGGGATCATGTTGGGACATGTTTGGACATCCTCTTAGATGGTTACTTGGTGATTCGACCAGTTGCCTGAGTTCACAGGGGTAGAACTTTTACCGAATCGGTCTGACCTCGAGGTGCTATCACCTGGGGCGACTAGCGGGGAAGGCTTTCAAAAGAACTCAAGGATACCCAACCTGAATTTCACTGGCTGAGTAATCTTCTGAAAGCAGGCAAAAAAGTGCACAGACGTCTCAGATACATCGTGCATAACATGTTTCACTAAGCTGATTGTGCCTCTCCATTTGTAGTCCTCCCCCCCCCACCACAATTCTGACTCCTCAGTCAAGGTGCCATCTCAGAAAAATTGCTGTCACACAAGAAATGTACCAGGTTACAATTAACTCTAATTGGGACGAGGCTGTCGAAACATATATTTCGCCGTTCATGGTATAGGGTCCCTTCGAGTCTAGATACCCAGCATATTTTGAAATGGAATTCAAATCTCCTACTGGAGACATCAGTTAACTAAGATATTCGGATTTGTACGTCGAAAATTATCAAAAATGTGGGTAGGACAAACTGACAAATTTCAAATTCGTTGGCCCAAAAAGCTGAACTTTGTTATTTGGCATTCTACGACGGTTTAGCGATATTGATTGGAAAATACAGTCATTAGTCACCTCATTCATCCGTGGATAGAAAGAAGTCTGGTAGAGGGGACGTTAAGTGTACAACGTAAAACGGGCCGTTGGTTTGTTTGCTGAGCTGGGCGGTTTGGTTGCCCACGTTTCCGGGGTACACAGTGAAAATTCATCCAGAGGTAACATTTTGCTGTCTAAAATGCTACTATTTTTCAATTTGTCATAAAAAAACGTGTCTGAGTTACAAGATATCAACAGTAGTACGTGATGGAATTAATTACAAATCAGAGGACACAAGATGGCAACTAAGTGGAAAGGGCTGAATGAAAGTGGTTCTTGACGGTCTCGGGGCTAGCGAGGTCACGAGCCAAAAGTGGAATGTTTATACTTTTCTACCAGAAAGGAAGTGTGTGTCAAGACATTCGTAGTACGGTTGCAAAACCTTACCGATGAGAGGTCTGATTGACGAGGTCGAAAAGCGCCACTGTGCTGAAGTGAGTGAAGTTGTGAACGGCCGGGCCTCGTTTGAGCAGTCGAAAGTGTTTCTCAAATGGATCAGTGAAAACGGCAGGGTAGAGGAACAGAATAACAGGAGACACACACGAGTACACTGCCTTACATACAGAAATGTGTGACAACAAAATTAGTGTGGTTCCCCTAGGGAGAACCGAAGTTGTTTCAACCCGAGTAGCTCAAGTCAAACTGAAGACAAAGCTTTCTCCTAGGTATTTGAGTCAGTATGTACAGCCCCACAAGTGAGTAGCTTTTCCTCAAAGTCCTCCATATGAGGATTAATAACCAAAGAGATTTCAAAGCGTCATATTTATCGAAATACACTCATTTGCAAACGAATTTGGTTTTGCGAGAGTCTCACCTAGAACCCAAATGGATCTCTCGTTTATGATGCTCTCAGGCAACTGAATGTGCTGCACCAGGCCGCCTCATGTTTCGGTCGCTACGATATTCGAGATATCGCGATACATGTGAATTAATAAAGTGCTACTCATAAGGTCGCTGAGAATTGGTCGACGGCCCACGACCGGTTTCGCTCTTCTTGGGGCTTATGGGTTAGGTGAAACCAAGCTCTATCAAAGGTGCGGTGAACTAGGTTAAACGCTGGTTCGTTCCCTAGAGAGCTGTGATAGCAGCACGGAAACATTGAAAAATCAGAGTAATATCTTTGGGATTTCGAACCCTCGAGGAACGCTGCCTCTGTCCATTGGAAAGTCCTAAATATTTCACATTAGGCGATAATTATTTTTCAGCTATGCGTTCAGCTTTGTTTGAATGCAGAAAATTTTCCCTAAGAGGCTTGCGAGCAAGCCTATATGGTTTCCCTCAGGGTCGGGTGGCATATTCGCACCAGGGGGATACCGACACAAAGGTGGAAGACACATGGTAACTCTGGGGGGCTTCTTTCTGCAAATCAGGGCATGGTTGGTGAGAGGCCTGTTGTAGTCTCGTTAGGGAGGCGCGGACTTCTCTGTCGAGTAATTTTAAGTCTTCTGATTGATTTTGATGCTACCTCTCTTTTTACTTGCCACTGACGGGTTGTCGTTAATTAGAAGTAAGCTGAATAGTTTGTCATGATGTTAATTACGACAGCTTGGTTTCTATCCTTTCAGCAATCCAACTACAATTTCATCCTGAAAATGAAGTTATTGTATACGAAAAAAGAAGCATCGTTTAGCTCTCTTATCCCTTCAGGAATGTGCATCTCCCTGAGGAGTCACTCAACGCACCGAATTTCTTGTGCGTGAGTAAAGCATGAGTGGTGACGCGTCCTTTCCGTTTGGCCAACTGCTGAATGTCATTGCTTTGAATCACCAACCTGGAGAAAGTGGGTTCAAATCTGCTCAGGGCTTTGCGAGACTCACAGTGCTGCTAGGTTCCACTAACGACAAAAGCACCTCTTGGATTTCCGCATAGACTGACTCTGCTTTCAGACTATATCCTGGATTCAACTGTGTCCACGCTGAAGATTGATGGGAATGGGGAAACCGCGCCTACTTGGTAAGCCCCAGGGAGGGCAAAACCGCGGGTGGGATGTCGGAGATATTTCAGCGACCTTATGAGTAGTATCTCCTGTTGACAAAATCTATATTCACTTTACTCGCCACCTGCCACCCGCCTGCGACTAAAATTAAACCACTCAACCCAAACTTCAGCAATATAGGTTTAAATAGCTCACTCATGAACTGCACTGTCGGATGTTTTTTACTGCAAGCCGATTCAACCTGCCATTGGGCACAGTGAATGCATTTCACTGGTATAGTAACGGTCATGCCAATGCAAATCAATGTTGGCGCGCAAAACAACCAAAACAATTGATTGGGATCCATTAGCCACACAATACTCTCAGCTTCAAAATATTTACGAGTGTAGTAAAACTTTTTGCGCCTAAATGTTGCATTTTGTTGCGTATGTGCTCAAACCAAAAACCATTCTTATCTACGTTCATGTTTCTTCAGCTCACCAAATTTAATTGTCCACTGAAGCAGTCATTCCTCTGGAGGAAAACGTTTAGTGGAATACTTTCCTAGCGTCGCAGAGATTCTGAGATGCCTAAATGGGACTCAAAAGGTTGGACTGGTACTCTGCATTCAAGTGCTCGATTGCTTTAGACCATCAAGGACGCGTAATAGCCTTCGGAAATTCCATTCCATTGTGCGAATACTGAGCACCAAATTGATGAGTGGTCAAGGCGCGAACTTACTGAGGGCGGTTCGAATCCGATCTCTGCATCTCGAATATTTCTGGATCGCTCGGGCATTCCAATAGTACCTCAGCTCTCCTGCTTTCTTCAGAGGGCATGGTAGTTAGGCACCGAAAAGTGCCTTCATCCCTCCAAAACCCAAATCAACAGGTTCTAATCCTCAACTTTACTATATGAGAGAGAGAGAGAGTAGGTAATCACAGTAACCACGACCTTTTCATTTATATCGTATCCTTTATAGAGCATTTTCCCCACCGTTCACTTATATTTCGGTCTACCGGAAAGTTTATCGATTTTCAACTAACCCTCGCGGTAGACAGAGGTTGACTATCATCCATCATGTTTTTGCCGAAAGGCGATACCACGTGTGATTCTCTGAGGTGCTTCCATTGTCAGGCGTAAAAAAATGTTTCACCTACAACACCGGGAGTTAAATGCTAGGAACACCTTTCCGGTCTGGGACTATACCCACTTTTATTTGTTAAAATTCATAGTGGCGAGAGCATTTTCGCCATCGCTACGCTGCGACAAACCAGCGATAAAATGAATGCTAAGCAGCAAAGCACAGCACTCTTCGCTCATTAATATATCCACCGGATGATGATGTACAGATGTTGAGGACTTTTTGAACGAAGTTAGGTGATTAAGGTGGAGAACTACCCGAAATTTTTCCGGTCTCATAGAGATCCTCTCACTTGACATGGTATCATCGACTGTCTACGTAGAATTGCATCAACGTACATCAACTGAGTTAGTGGAGTATGGAGAAACAAGGGATTAACGAGAGAATCTTCAGTACTTGTTAATGTCCAAGTTAGCACCATTTCACTTGGTGTGGTACAGATCGTCTTCTACCTACTTACGCGGGGTAAATGTCACGTGATATCATGTGCCATGATAAGTCCCTCCCCAATAGTTTTGGACTAGATTTAGTCAAGGCTTCAAAATTTACAAAGGGTCCGCCTTATTGGAAGAGTTCTTCTGGCTCAGATGTTGTTATCTCGCATCCAGTCCCTTAGAAGCACCCTAGTAGCAAATCTGTTTATAGACTTCTATTCCACAACTGCCCATTTGCCCTATATTACTGTCAAAGACAAATCCTGTTGGATTACCACAGATGATTTTTTGTATCCCGTTCGGCTTGCTGTCTATATCGATTTTTGGAAAGCCGCTTACAGGCTCAGTATTCCCCCCCCCCCCCCGATCCGCCTTTTGATCACTTTGTTTTGTTCACCTGGCTTTCTGACTACCAGACTACATCGATAGTTTTGTAGTCCAGATGCTAAACTTGCATACATTGGAAATCTAATTAGTGAATATTCCGCCTCCTCAGATTAAATTAAGCCGTGCTTTGATTTACTTTATTCTGACGCTTGGCTAATGCATCATCAGACAGCTACTGACCAGTCGGGTGAAAAATGTGCATAGTCGTGGGCGGTGGCGTAAAA